CACAAATTATTAGTTATGATCATATATGTTACCCGTACCACTTATTGTGATTATTGACAAAAAAAAAAACGCAAAATGCTTAACGTTTGTGTTTTTATATTTTATTATGATTTACTTAGGTACAATAATACGGTTTTTGTAAAATTTCATATTTAATTTATATCTAAATAATCGGGACGAATAGGTACAGTTTTACTACTCAGTGATGTAAACATACTTTGTTTTTTAGATAATGGACTGAGCAATTAATTAATTAGTTTTAAAATGATATGTATGTTTTTATACCTATATATATATATATATTTTTTTTTTAAATAAAAGATTTATTTCTGATAGAAAAATGCTTCAATATTTAATTTCTAAGGAGATATCTGGTAGAAAATTTGATGTAATTTTTACTTATGTCAAATAAAGAAATTTGCTAATTAATTTATAGAATAACTAGATAAAACAAAAATAAACATAAATGTTGCTAACACAAATAAAATAATTGCAGTAAAATTTAATTATGATAAAAGTAAAGGAGACAGAGTTTTATTTTATGTTCACTAAATTTTCAGATAGATTTTAATTATTATAGTAAAATTATTAACTATAATAATTAACTAAATTAAATATAAATATTCATAGGTTAGGAATATTTTAACAAATATAAGATATGATACAAATGTTGTTTTTTAAAATAGTTATATTATATATATATATACTGTGATTCGTGTATTATGCCATTTAATATAATATGTGTAATTCATGTAGTAAGTACTACTAAAATATTATTGATTGTTTAAAATATTGTCATAGAGGTTTTTTTAGTTATTATCTGTCATCGGCATCAAATACATATTACCTTGAACTAATAATAATGTTCAAATTATAAGAGAAAAAAAATTTTAAATTCAATCACCATACTACAATTTTATTTTATATAAATACACAATTCTAATTATTAAGATTAAAAATAAAAATTAGTAGCATTTAATGAAAAATTATTGTTTTCTGTATTTTATTTTATTTTAACGCCATACTGATTTTTTATATTAAAGCAAGGTGAGTAAATATAAACTTATTTTTTTTAACTTTAAATATTATTAAATCATTATAATAATATTTTATTTTTTCAATATTTCAATATTATATTTAAAATTTATAAAAACCAATTTTAAATAAATACTTAAATAAAGAGTGCAAGCTCACATGAAAGCAATGTTGTAAGTTACATTTTATTGCCTAAAAGATTTTGGCATATTTAAAAAAGTATTACGAGAGTCAATGTCTATCGAAAAAATTAATAAAGATGATGTCGACTCGTTATCCATTCCCAAGAGCATCGTTTAGAAATTGAGTGAAGACAAATAAATAATTTATTTGTTGATCTTTAACTTAAAAAATCATGTTGGAAATTGCTACAATATATTTTATTATTTTTTTATATTTATAAATATTATACAATGTAAAAAGGTGGTTAGTAAAAATTAACATAAATTTATCATTCAAATTTCATGATTTTTAAAATTACCAGACGCAATGAAATAATAAAATGTTATAGTTTATTTTTTATATTCATTATTTTTTTTTTTAGAATATAGTCGATTAAAAACTGTCTACGTCGAAAATATACAAGTCAATGAACTTTAGTCACTATTCCACGAGTAAAATATTATTAATAACATGTATTATGTTAAAAATTCAAAATTAGTGTTTCAAAGAAATTATTGTTTTTTCGTGTTTTTGCTTATACAATATGCACGCAAAACATACAAAAATAAAAAAAAAAATAATAATTTCTTTATAATATGCATGTTTTACATGTATTTTATAAACTAAAACACGTCAAGCGCTTACAATAAATTATAATAATGTATCTTCATTGTATTATATTAAAAATAAAATAAGTACATTTGTACAATTTCAACATTATTCGCTGCTGTATATTGATGTATGTTTATATTCATATTCGTAAATTTTTTGTAATATTCTGTCTAGTAATACGAATATGATAGTTATTACCTATTTACTTAGCATGTAAGTAGTTATGTATAAAATAAAATAATTGTCATTTTTATAATTAAATACTAATTTGTTTTTTTTCTTTTACTTATTTATTTATTTTGCTACATTAATATTCAATAATAAAGATAAATCTAGGTAAAAATACTCACGACATAAATATTTAAAAGTAAAATTCAATATATTTTTAGTCAATGTCATCATATATAGATGGCTATAAGAATTTACTAATTATTGCAGTTTTATGTTTTAATAACCTTAACGTACTTAAAATAATATAGATATTAAAATACTTAATTTAACAAAATATAAAATTCTTAAATATACGTATATGTAATAAATTATTTATTTTGGTCAATATTGAATTTTTATTTTATTTTTTTCATACATTTACAGAGAATTTTAAAATGATTCCTTCTCAGTATAGCTATTTTATGAATATTTAAATTAAATCTTTATTCTTGTTAAATGTGAAATGTTTTTAAATTTATTACTTTTACCATAAACTCAATTTTATACATACTGTTCAATAGTCAATGAAAATGTAAATAAGACTTTATTGTAGTATTTAATAAGTATTACAATCTAAAACTGATTAGTAGCTGCCAACCTACCTATAGTGAATAATTAAGTAAAAATCTAAATCTTTTTATGCATATATGTATTATGTATATTAATTTAAAACATGAAATTAAAATTAGTAATCATAGGTTTAACACGCACCTGTGGAGTAATAAAAATATTGCACGCGATTTCGGTGTTTTGAATTTGAATTCATACTTCTTATCCATTGAATATCACACTCAATTTGGATGCACTTCATAATAAAAAAGGATAATAATATTAAAATTAATGAATGATATTAATATTTTATGTTTAAATGGTCTGTGAATTATAATAATATCTTTGTGTGTTTCTGATAAAAAAAATACGTTGTATAACGAAGCGGTTAGCATTTTATGGTTGTTTTGTCTTTGGTTAATAAAAAATACGTCTTTGGCGTCAATCCTAATTTCAAGGTATAATATACGATAAACTAAAAATTAAATTAACAGGTTAGGTTTATATAGATGTTTTTTATTTAAATTTAGGATTCTGTCAAATAAAGTAACAAAGAAAATATAAAACTGATACAAAATCCTAATCCTCTTCTAACCCATTATAAAAGTAAATTATTTTTAAAATTACCTCCAGGTGCAATAGATATGTATATAGTAGGTACTTTCAAATTTTTTTTATTGATAAATATTTTCCTAAACATTCTTCTAGTACTCATAAGTAAAAAAAAAATGTATTAATATATAGGGGACTGCCAAAATGTCAACATTTTCTAAAATGGGTCGTAATTGTGAACAATAATTTGAAAATCTATGGCATATGTATTGTATTAGTAACTTAAACAATTTAACTAATCAATTTTTATTTTAAATAATTAGAAAATAAAAAAAATTAATAAACCTTGGTTATACGCATTATTTAAAAATTTTACAAAAAAAAAAAAAATAACATTTTTTATTGAGGTACCTATAAATGATTATACCATAATATTTCTATTGTAATATTCGAAGAAATAGGGTACGTTTGAAAGTAAGCACGTGGTGCGTTATAATACCTGTAGTGTAAAATAAATGATAAAAAGAAAGCCGTTGACCTTTATATTTGCTACTTATGTATTATGCCTTTACATGGCTATGCACAAAGTATAGTGTCACGCACAAAGTGTTAAAATAACTTCGAGAATAAAAAGAAAAAAACCTCTCGTAAGTTTATACAATGTGGCATAGAACTACCATGTTATGTTAACGTATGGTATAACTACCTACGTACAATATGATGGATTATGTTATATTATATTGACACGGTTTTATGATGTTATTTTGAAATTCGTATAAACATGTGCGTGATTACAGTGGGGTTCAGAAATTACTATGAATTAACAGAAATGTACAACAGAATTTAAATACATAACTAACTTGTAAGTGAAAAACAAAATAAATTGTAATTTTCCTTTAATGGTTTGAAATTTAAATTATCAAATGTATATAATGATAAAAAAATAAATATTACAATGTCACAGCAAAAAATAGAATGCATATCATGTATGCAAACCAATAAACTTATGGGCACATAAACAATCATTAAACACTTAACAAATACCTAAACAGTGAACCCACATCTTAAATATGATTTAGTGGTCACAGTAAATCCATTGATTTTTTATGAAACATTGTATATTTAAAATATTGAGTTAAAACGAAAGAGTAGTTTAACAACGATGTTAAACTACATAATTTTGAAACGATTCATATTTACTTAATGTACTCTTTAATTTTTATTTGGCCACAAATATGACTGCTGCTCTATTATAATGAATGATGTTTTAAAATATAATCAAATTTAAAATGATTATTTAGAATCTAATGTTTTAACAAATAATTATTAACAAAAATATTTGTTTTAATCTGTAAACGATCCAGAACCCGTGATCCTCCATCAGCTCCTATGAATGTTCACATTTTTAATAATTTATGTGAGTACAAACCCTAAGTGTGATTCTTTATCGATAGTAATAATTGTTGTTTTAACAGTCTTGTAAAGAGATTGCACAGTGAGACTTATATAGTGGCTTCGAAAAATGTATAAACCATTAACAATTTTTGATCGTTTAAAATTATTTATGTAGGTATTTGATTTTTTTTTTTTTTGAAAATTTGTCTTTTTTTTGGTCAATATTTTTTATTTAAGGCCATTTTAGGCAATAAATCCACATATATATATATGTATAAAACATGCATTCAGAAAACTGTATATTTATCAATTAAGTCAATAATGTAAATTATTACGGATTATCATTATTTCCTGAGATGTTTAATCTCTAATGATATTTTCCAACAATTGTTGAAAACATTTAAATTAATATCGTTGCCGCTTACATGTTATATATTAATAGGTAAGTATAATATTTATGTATTTTTATTTTTTTATATTTTCAGACAAAATTCCTGATGACGAGCATTTTAAAAATGGTTCCAATGGTAGACAAAATTGGGAAGCAGATGACATTGACAATACAAATAGTAATAACACTGGAATGTTCCCGTACACAAATGGTCATGTCAAATTCGACACACCGAAAGTTCCAGTAATTTTCGTACTTGGTAAGAATTCAGTTGCAATTATTTCGTGGCGTTCAGCATTGTGACTGAAAGTTTTCGCGTATAGGTGGACCTGGAAGTGGCAAGGTCACGCATTGTGACAACTTGATGATAGAAAAGCGCGGTATTGTTCACATTAACATGACCGACTTACTACAACAGTACACTGTTGGAAACGGTAAGTTCATTTTATTTTCAACAACAATGAAACGATATATTTAAGTTGAATGATGTTTCGATTGGACGGTAGTTGGCAATTAGTTTTTAGTTACGTTTATTGTTAATCGATAATTTATGGTTTACATATATTCGTACTTAAATCCAACACACATTATAAAGAAATTTATTCATTTTTGACGTGTTTAAACACTGACAAAAGTTTGCTGAGTACAAGCTTATACACACTGTAAACACGCATTAATAGTTTATAACAATTCGTTTCAAATTTAATGTTTTTTCAAATATATTTTTCAATTTAATATTTTGTATATTAATGCACTGTACAACATTAAAAATGTATTTTGAATTACAAAAAAAATTTAGGAAAGTGTGTACTATACTCTACTATACAAGTGTTGAGTGGAACATTACTAATGGTGCGTTCAATTTGAATTCAATGATAAATCATTATATGCGTAAAACAATTTTGGAGCCGAGACAATCCTTGATCTTTTATCACTTAATATATTTTGTGATAAATTTTTTTAAATTTTAATATATAGCTATTAAAGCCCATTTATTTCATTTTTAAAACCTATTACGGTAAGTCGTTATAATTTTTTCTTAGTTAATAAAGCATTTAATTATTATGATAATTTATCAATTTTATAATTCACAATTTTAACAACATCTTTCTTTATTCTTTATTTTTTAGACAGAAATAAAACATCTTCAGTATTTATTTATTTATTTTTTTTTTTTTTAAGTCCAGAAAAGAATAATTAGCAAAAACGGAGATTTTTATGAATATTCAACTTTTAACAAAATTGATATTGTTTTTTGATGTAACTCGAAAATGAACAATGGTAGATACTTGAAATTTTTACTTAATGTTTCAACTAAAATTTTCTATTTACAATAACATTTAAAAAATATTCTTGAGTTATTTATAAGCATCAAAAATTACAAATTTAAATTAAAAATTATTAGTTTGGTTGAAGTTTTTGAAAATTTAATACTAAATTCTTAAAAAGTGGTTTATCTTCTTATCAAAATTGAAAATTTATAGCTACAATATTTTTTACAAGCATTTAAATTTAAAAACATGACAAAATTTGTCAAAATTTTGTACAAGGTTTTTTATACATTAAAACACACCCATAATAGTGACACACTCAAAACATAATATACAGCAGAGTAGACCCCACTTTCCGATATTTTTTTATCCCTATAATTCATTAAATTTAGTTCTTTAATGCTAACTGATGTTTTTAATCTTTTAGTCTATCTAAAGTATAATACTATAATAAAGATGTTAAATATATTACCCTAAAATGTTGTTATAAATTTGCTTTAATATTATAGTAAAATAGCATGTGTTATTTTACTGAAAATAGCTGTTAAGTATATTTATTTTCAAACTACTTGTGTAAAGTATTTATAAATATTTCAAGTTTGAATTTTGGATAAGCGAAAAAAATCTTTTAAGGGTACCAACTGTATAACATTTCACTGCTCATAATTGTATTTTAAATGTAATTTAGATATAGTGCATAAATATTTTCTGAAAAACATTATATCTAGAAATATGTGATTATAAAGAAGGGTGGCTATAATAAAATGTATTGAAGTTGTGGAAAATATTTCTATAAAAAAAAAAAAAAAAATGTAAAAGGGTAATGACCTTCGTTATTCAAAGTCATTGCTCCTTAAGTAAAAAAAGAAAAGTAAATAAAAGAAAATAATTAACATTTTTTTTTTTTTAATAATGAATTTTTGTATTTTTAAATTAAAATTGTGGCAGTGAAATAAAATAAAATAAGATGAAAAATCTCGAGATAAATATAATAAGATCAAATAAATAAATTAGTTTTAATTTTTTATCCAAGACTGATAAATTATACAATTCATACATAATTTATTGACGTACAGTTAAAAATTTTAAAAGTTTAACTATGATATTAATATATATTATATAATCAATGAAAATAATACGAAATACATAAATAAATCAACGATGAAACTATATAACTATTTATTGTGTCCATTGACTTTAAGCCAACCTTGACATGTCAGAACAAGTAGACTTAGTATTACGCATCGGCTCTGTACAATTTAATTGACGAGTGGGGATAAGCTTAGCTGTGTTGTGTATGTGTATATATCAGTTGTAATTCTGAAAAAAAGCTAAGAATATTACTATTGGTGCTTTATTATATTGAAATAGGTAATTACATTTTTTAAGGCTATATCGAGTGATAAATATAAAAAGAACATTATCATTTACAAATGTATAAAATCAATTTTCATATTACATGTTTGTGTGACGTATAATGATATCACTATACCCCAATAGGTAAATAGAAAATACACCGAAGAAGCATTATTATTAAAGATTATATAGAGAGATAAAAGATTAATATGACGTATAATTGGAAATCGTTAAGTTTTTTCCAAGAAAGTTTTTTATTGTCTTATAATATCTATAGTCAAGGGAAAACAACTTTATAAAATTTCCAGTTTCAAAAATTTCGCCACATTTACCATTATTTGATAAGATTATTATTTGATTTTTTTAAATAGCTATTTTAATAAAAAGTATAGTTATATTTAATAAGTAAAAAAAAAATATTTAAGACCCATACGCTTAAACAATTTTTTTAAAAATGAAATTGGAAAGTTAAAAATAATGAAATTATTATATTGATTGTAGCTAAAAGTTTTATTTTTACGAAGGCCAATTACCTATCGATCAGGTCGTAATAATATTATAATGTGCCTATGGTTGTCCCTGACCTATTTAAATTGAATTGGGAACATTTCGACGTTTTAGTTTAAAAATTAAATGTGACGTGTTTACCAAAGTTTTGGAAAGTTCTTTTACTTCTTTAAACAGTAAAAACTAAAAACAACTCTAATATGATATTGGCTCAAGTCTAAGTTTTGATAAATAAAAAATTTTAATCGAGGTTTACGGTAATATATGAATGACAAATATTAAATCGTAGTACATATCGGTTTCTATAAAATATTAAGTAAACACTTAAACAGACATATATAATTTTTAAATACATATTATAAATAGAACGGGTGAAACAGTTACCGTGAAAAATGATTTTACGGGTCATTTTTATTTTATGTAATACAAAATTAAAAAAAATAAAACAAAATAAATAAAACAATGATGTGTATATGAGTATAATATAAAACATTTTTTGTTCAATCAATCTCATTAATTTATAAAAATGAACAGGATAAATTGTGAAAGATAAATATCACAAGCTAAGACTGCCAACTGATGATGATAATGATAATATAAGATAATATCATTGAAAAGTAATTAGTCTTGTAAAATGCATAAATTAAAGCATTTGTATATCAATACCATAAAAATAATTATTTAAATTTTAAATGTTCACAAATGAGGAACATAGTGCCCGAACAGATGAACTCACAAAAAATTAAACTTTGCTTTATGTGACATAATTTTTTTGATTGATATGTATTTGAAAACCAATATGGCTTAACCGATCAAAAAAATTATCAGGATAGCAGACCTTATTTTTATTTTTGTTTTGACACTGCTACATAAATAATTCATTTCAGAACCTAAGTAGGTTAACTCTATGATAACCAAACAGTTTATAACTTTATACTGAAAATTAAAATGTTATGTGATACTGTTAATTATTATGTTATACTTGTTAATGAGGTCTATGTATTTTTTAGATTAATTACCTAATTTAAAAATTTAATATGTTTACTATAAATTGTTATACTATTAAAAGTTGATTTTTTAAAATTTTTTTCTAAGTTTCCTAATAATATTATGCTGTTAATAATCATTTTGAACTAATATAAACTAATATTAATTAAAATAATTGCAAATAAATTAATAGTTTTTACATAATATTAGTTAAACTAACCTTATAAAATTTTAGTAAATTACTAAAATTAATTGTTTTAATAATTGTATTTAGAATTTAAATGCTCTTAAAATGTTCGTATAATCAAATAAGTAAAATATCATTGAAATAGTTGAATGTCTTGTAATATTATAATTTATAACGCGTAAATTCATCATAAAATATTACAACCACTTAGCACAATTATTATAACCTGCACGTTTGCATGTACCTACAATTTTTATTTTCTTATACAAACCATTTAAATTTTTTGCATACACATTTGTCTAAAATTATGAATTGTAGAAATAATTTATTTTATGTAACGTACTTATAATATGTTTGTCTAACCATTAATTAGATATGGAAGACTTTAGCAAACTTTCCAGTAAAACAGTTACTGAAGTATTGATGTTGGAGTTGAAAATGTCTCCTGTAGCCAAAACATTTTTGATATCAGGATTCCCAAGAAATATGCGCGATGTAGTTGAATACACAAATAAGGTATTGAAATGAGATTTTTATTTTGTCTAAAATTGTATTAAGTTATTTAAGTGACTTCTCGGTATTTTTCTGAACTTGAAAATAATATTCGTGCAGATTCATTTGATCTAACGTGTTCAGTAAAAAATAAAAAATAAAAAATATAGAAAAGTTCTATCAATTTATTTGGAAATTTTAAAATTAACTTAATATAATTCAAATAAATGTTGATTAAACACAACATTTTCATACAAAAATTAATTATAAGAATTCTATTAAATATTATTTATATTTAGATAAAAGTCGTAAATGGAGTCATTCTAATATCGTGGAATCAAAATGTGTTGGAACGACAAATCGATTACGGTGCAAAATTAGGACATGTCGTTTTAAGTCTGGCTAGAATGGAGCTGAACAACTTCTACAAAAATGTGACTCCAGTATCGGACTATTATGACCAAAGGAAAATGCTTATTTCAGTGAGTATTGAATCCAGATAAATAGATATTATGACAATTATAAATATAATGGTAAACTGGTAATTGTATGTTCTAATGTCGTGATCACAAATTGTCATGTTTGAAGGTGAACGGTGAACGGAGTCCGACGGAAGTATATAACGACTTCCGGTCTTCGGTACTGCAAATATTGAGCTCCTACAAAAGTCCAGCGCCGGTTATAGTGGCCAACGGTACCGTGCGCACGGACAACCCGGGTACCGAACAACCGGAAGTCGACGCTGAGCGCCCAAGCAACCACTTCACCGTCGATCCCGCGCCGGAACCACGGGCTACAGAACGCGTCTCGGAACCGGAAACGTTTCCGCGAGTGATTTTCGTAGTGGGTGAGTGATTTGATAATAATACAAACGTCGTAGACCACATAAAATTATGAGCAGTTCATTTTTTTGACATTTTGCAGCGATTCGGAATTTTATTGTATTTTTTACATCTTTTTTTTTATTGTTTTTTGGCCCTTGACACCAAAAAGATCGCCGACCCCTGATTTAGAGATATCATAACACAATAGCGTGGTGTCATAAATAATTTAATACGTTGTGCAGTTAAAATAATAATGTTTTAATTAGCTAAATATTATGATCACCTTTTCTAATATACTATTTTAATACCGGGGTGTTACCTTCAAATTTAAAAATTTTTAACTTGTCAGCGTTTACGTAATTACAGTGACCAAATGACTATACTGGCCTATCATTAATCTGAATAATTATCAATGATATTTCATACAATTTTCAGCTATAATGATTAACAAATTGTGACAAACACAAATTAAATAAAAACATAGAAAAAAAAGAAAATTTCAAATAACTATAAATAGCTTAAATTGAACCAAGTTATTTGTATTTTAGAGAGGTCAAACTTTACAATTTTTTTAATTATTTTTATAATTGGAAAAAAAAACAAACAAAAAAAAATAAGGAAAAACGGGAATTTTTACAAAATTAATTTTTGTTTTTATGATGTAATTCAAAAACAAATAATCGCATAGGTTTATTTGAAAATTAAAATATTCACCAAATGTTTATATTATTTTTTTCTATTTAGGTACAATAACATTTTTAAAATATTTTAGGAATTTTTGAGCTATTTATAGGGATAAGACATTTTCGTTTTTTTTTTTTTTTTAACTTTTTCTCTATAATTACTAACAAAAAATTATTCGCTAATTGGGTCAAAATTCTTGAACATTTTACACAAAATCTTCAAATTTATTTTGGATCTATATAAAAATATTAAAAATAAATATTAATATTTAAACGATAAATAACGATATTAATTATTTTGATATAATGTAAGAACATTATTTGTAGAAAATTGCAACTTTTAAGTATATTATTATAAATTTTACTATACAGTATACACCATGATATTTTTTATTTATTTTAAGATATTATTATCTAATTATACTATGAACCTATTTTTTACTATTTTACGGTATTTACAGAAATATGTTATACATTTTGAATTATATACGTAAGTTGATATAATATGGTATAAATATATATTATAATTTTAATAATTATATACTAATAAAATAAATGCTATTCTTTCAAAAAAAAATTATATCAGTTTACTACAATACTAATATAAAAATAAATGACTTAAATAGCTATGTCAAAAAAACTTTATCACTTGGTAATATAGGCTGATAAGACCGTTTTCGCTAAAAAATTGTTTTTTCGTAAACAATAATATATCATTAAATTCAAATTTAACAAACCTATAATAGTGACCTACTCGACACTAAACGTATAGACGAATGGTACTCATTTACTTACCTTTTCTAAGATGAAAATATTCTTATTACCAAAGCTATTTATAATTTTATTCATTTATAGAATTTTCCTCACATTCAATGATTAAGTTTTACTAATATATTCAAAAAATATTCTGATACTTTATGATAATCTATTAAACAGTAAAGTTGAAATCAATTTTTATCAAGAATAATTTATCTAAACAGAGTAAAATTATTTATCTACATTTTTAGCAAAGTATAATAAAAGCGATTTTTTCGACCTTTATTTGTACATCTTATGAAAAATTAATAAACTTAAATATTATTTTAGAAAAAATTTCTTGTGTAGCTTTTAAGATTTAATATAATACTACGTATATTATTATATTAAAATCTAAAATATATTATTTCTAATATTCATTTTTTGGCTTTTCGATTTTGACGGAATGGTTATGTTCAAACCTTCATTTTTTGGACATAAATCATTGATTAATTTTTGATGTTTACAGGTGGCCCCGGCAGTAATAAGAGTTCATTGTGCCAAAAAGTACTTAGAGCCAACGTTGGTTGGGGGCATGTCAGCGTTGGACCTTTATTGAGATCTCTGGCTTCGACTCAAGAATCCCTACAAGAGATGATCAGCAGTGGACACATCCTCGAAGAAGTGACGTTAATATTATCTTTGTTCATATCACTAACTATATTTTTGTTTTTATTTAATTACAGTGGATAGTTCATGAAATATTAGATAAAGAGTTACTCAAGTATACAAATACAGAGGGTATTGTGATCGATGGTTATCCAAGAAATATTGGACAGCTCAACTATTTTGAAAAAAAGGTATCTAGCATGACAACGATATTATTATATTATAGAATAATAAAAAAATAAATATTAATAGCTATGTTTTGCAGTAAGCTAAACAAAATACAATTAATACTATATAATTGTATTAATCATAATAAAGCAATGGTATTACAATAAATATTATAAACTAACTTAACTAAGATACTTTTTTTAAATTTTTCCACGATTCCTACCACTCACCAATCGTCAATAGTTATACAGTGATTGAGTCATGATTTTTAATAACTTTAAAGGGATAAGATCGATTTACCAATTAATATTTTTTTAGTTACAAGTTCATCTATTATCAAAATATTTAGTTGGCTATTAGACTATTTAAATCTACCAGTGAAAATCTGTCTCCAGTCTATTTAAAATCTAAATACATTAAGATTAAATAATATATTACGTGGCTAGGTTTTTATTCATCCACACAATGATACATTTTATTATCGATGAAGATTAGTTTCACAGAGTATTGGCTTTAGTTGTCTTCGTATTACACACTTACCTGACGGGTAGAAACACATAATATTTATGTATCATCTAACGTATTATCTGTAATCTGCAACTGTAAACATTGTAAAATATCAACGAGTAAGATGTTTTATATTCTATTTTATTGATGAATCAAAATTTTATTGGTTTCACATTAATAGCGTTTTTTTTTTTGCCAAATAAAAAATATTTTTTAATCGCATCAAAGAGTAATTTAAATAATTCTACGCAAAAAGTTTTTAAATAACTCAAACAGTTAAATTGATAGTTATACAACACTCTCATAATGAATTCAAATTTTTCAATAATCATTCTGTTTGGTTAATTGCTGTTTTAGTAGTTTGTTACAATTAATTTTCATCATAATAGTTTTAGGTAAAGTTTTATACTTTATAGTATGAATTATTATGATATCATATCTACGTAAATCGTAACAATTCAATATTGTTTATTCATGTACCTACTTTATTATGAAACTACATGAAAATAATAATATTTTAATGTTTATGTGTCTGACGATGTGAATGAAATTATTTTTTAGTATGCTCAACGGCCGAAGTTGATACTATTGGATTGCTCAAAGTTGCAGTTAGGTCGCGGAAGATTAGATGACAGCGTGTCGGCGTTTCGCCGGCGTCTGCAGAGTTTCCGCGAACAAACTCTACCGATGCTCAAGGCACTGGACAAAGACAACCGCTTAACTGTAGTGAGTAAACAGTATTACATTAAAACATGCATTTATTTAATTATAATTACGCTATGGACAAATTTGACCAATCGAGAATTCGAGTTTAGTCGGTTTGTAGAAACAAGTTAGAAACAATATAATGATAAATAAAATTTATGAAAATAATCAATTTAAAAGTATTTTTATTCGTTGTTTAAAAACTGAAAAAAAAAGCCAAATACAGTGGAACTCACTATAACGAGAGTAGAATGAGTGAAATGGTAGATCCTCGTACGAACCCGATTCTTCGTATAATAAAATGTACGATAAGTATTAAGTATGGGTTTAACGATATATCAGCTACAACGAGTAAAGAAGATCGAACTATAAAAAAAAAATATATTCAGTTATTATGATTGGATTTTTATCATTTCCTTATTACATACATATTATTCATGTAAACTTCCCGTCATATTTTGCTGATATTTAAATGGCATTAATATTAATTATTACTTACATATTATGTTTTGTACTTTTTGAGGTTATGTATGAACATACTTTCTACGAGTTTTGGCATTTTTAAAATAATAGTGATTACGAATAACGTTAATATGTATCAACGTTCAATCAGAAAAAAAAAATTGTGAACCTATGTAATATGTACAACGAAATAAAAATTCAAAAATTTAATGAAAGATAAAATATAATACATATGTACATAAATAATTTTTTTTCTTAAATTATGTATAGTAATATATATATAATTACAAATATATAGTATTTATCCTCGATTACATAAAAATAAAATAAAATCATCTGTTTTTTTTGTATTTTTTGCTTACTATTTATAATAAGTTTTAACCGTATTAACGACCTACCGATTTCAATGAACAAAATTTTCTGGCTCTCGAAAGTTGTTGTAATCGATTTTATAATGTGATTTTTTAATATTAATGGTTTTAATTATATTATTTATTAATGGCTTAAAAAAAAAATCATCTTGATTATTCAATATTTATGTTATAGAAAAAAAAAAAATAAGTAATTTATAATTTGATTCTATTAAAATCTGATTATTTTACTAAATACTTTTAATTATAATTTTTTTTTTTTTTTTTTGAGATAAATGTAATTAAATAAAAGGAATGTTTTTTATGAATCAGAGACAGTCTATTAATAATTAATATTTGATATTTAAACATCAATAGTCAACAAAATAAAAATTAAACTGTTAAAATATCATAAAAAATAGTATTCGTCCAATAGAAATTAAAAACATAGATAATATTTTTGTATAATATAAACTTGTTGACACACATAATCGTTGTATTATATTTGAGATAGGCAAAAAAAGATAAATACTTATTTTTAGTGCCTTATCACTACATATATAAAGCATTTTTGCTGATTAAGAAGTTAAAAATTGCATAATAATTTTGCACCATAATCTCTACGAATTTGCAATAACTAAATATTTATCATATCTCATAAGGATTAAAATGCTAGAAATTTTTAGAAAATGTGAAAAAATGAGAAAATTTTAAAATAATAAAAAACCCTATGCCAATACAATATTTATAATATAGTATAATGTGCGTAAAAGTTTTTTAATTTTTCATGAATAATGTTTTAAATTATAATAAAATATTTAACATCGTTATTTATCGTTTAAATAAATTGTGTATTTTAATAGTATTTTATTATATTATAAATTCTTATGAATTTCTAATCACAATATCTATATAATTTGTCAAAATTCCAACTTTTAACGCTTATAAAAAATATTGTAAATATAGATTTTTGATATTTTTTAATTGAAAAATTAACAATACATAAGAAACTTTGTACTAAGTTTTCAAGAATTTCTACGAATAATTTTTAAAAAAGAAACTAAAAAACTAAATTTAATTTGTCATCCTAAACCACTCTCATTTTTAAAGATCAAAGCATTTTATTGACTTCTCATCGCGTATACACAAAAAAAAAAAAAAAACACTTTATTATAAATTTAATACATTCATTGCTTTTTAGTTTTTTCAGAATTTAAAATGATTTACGTTTAAAATTAATTTATGAGCATAAAAAACTAGAACACAGGTATTGTTTTTGATGATATGATAATTGTTTGTTAACTAATTGATCTCTGTTACAATGAATGATAACATTATGTGTGTTGGTAATGATGACAATATATTTTTATTGTGTTCTTAATGACTCAGGTGGACGGTAACACCGACGACAAGCGCGTACAAGAGACGTTCATCGGCACTCTGGTGGAGACGATGAAGGGAGAGAATTTTTCGGTTTTCCATCTGGACGGCGGCGGCGACAACGCCGATACTGATGCCCACTCAGACACGGAAAATCGAACCACGTCAGGACACGCGATTTCGGGGCCGGCGGTGCCGCGTCAAAACGGTCATCTACCGAACGATGCAAACGAAGACGACAACAATCGGGAACAGAACTTGCGGTACGATGTGCGGAACATGTACGCTCAAATAGGATCATACGCCAACAATCCGTCGCTGTACAACGCTTAAGCTATCGCATCAACGACGGACACGTTATTATTATCGTTCTCGTATTTATAATGTTGTCCAGTTACGTCCAGCAATCTTCGTAGGCATACATGCACTGCAGTGGCGCTTTCTTTGAGACGTAGGCGTGCGCAGGATTTCGTGTCTGGTGCAGCGCACGTTGTTTGCCGGTCCGACCAGAAAGGTTAGGCGTGAGCGTCGCGTTTTCCTGGTTTTTTTATAACACGGGAAAATTGTGCTCGAGGCGAACACAACAATGTGCTCGTTGATCGTTCGACCGTCTGGACGAAAACACTCCGTTCGACATTCAGACACGTACTATATAAGTGGGTCATGACTATTGTTTTATGGTTTATGTAACCGACATCGCATCTGTTAACGCGACAAGTGTCGCTGCGACCAATCGAACGGTTGTTGGCTGTGAATGTCGTAACGATATACACCGCGGTCGTGTCTGTACGTGAAAGACCAGGGGCGTTTTCGAGGAGGCGTGGTAGATGCGGTCAGAAGTCCTGTGGCATACCTTGTAGGTTTTTAAAAATGTCTTAGTTTTAATTGTTAATTTTTCTGTAACTGAAATATTTTTTTATTATAATATTAATGTTAACACGATATTGTATAAGAACGGTTAACGCGTGCCCATACGAATTACTATAGGTGATAATTTAGTTAAATGGTTAAATTTTAATGAAAAACATATTATATTTGGTTGTATTGATATTAATTAAGAGGTTAAAACTGTCTATCCATATAATCTCTCGAGAGAACGTTACACCGTACCCGCACGCGTAGTCTGATTAGTGCACATGTCAACATAACAAATTTTACGTTTAAAATAATCCATTTTACTCGGTTGTTTTTAATATATTTCTGTAATTTTTTCGGTTATACAATTTAAATACAAGAATATTATTTACGGCTCCAGAGAGTATTTTGATAGTTAAATTTTAAAACAAGTTATATGTATTTTAAAATTGTACATTTATTTTTATTTTTTAAATTCTAAAATACTCATCAATTCACAAATTATTTCAAAATTAGAATATTAAAAAATGCTTAAACTAAAATGACACTAAATAATATTTTTACGTTTAACTTTGATGATAGGTTAAACTCAATATACTATTAAAAACAGCAGGGTAAAATGAATAGTTCTGAACGTAAAATTTGATATGCATTAATAAAACAAAGTGAGTACGACGTCCCATTAAAGCCTATTAATAAAAATAAATATATATTTTATCATAATCAATTGAAAACTATAATATGCAAAGACTGAGATCATATCTTGAGCTTTCACCCTTCCCCAAATGGGTCAAGGACGCCCCTGGTATGCGTGTGAATACGTTTGTCATTTAATATCAATCTCTTTTTGGAATTCTCGAATTGTTAAATAATTTTATCACTTTCCATTTGATTAACATATTGGCGGATATTGATATTTTTAATTTTATTATAAATTCAATAATTTTTAAATTATTAATACCATATAAGCCTTATAAATAAATATTTGCCGGTCGGCTAAATTCAAAATAAATTGTCAGACGCAACGAAAGGTGAGAACACCATTCGCTGCACACCCGTGCGCACGCTTATGCTTTGAGAAATAATTGCCATCTATCGCGAGGTTAGATCGATTGCGGTAATTGAGTCTTTAATATAAATATTACTTTTAAGAATAATAATAAAAATTATGATAGAAAAATTATGAATATATTTTAATTTTGTTTCGTTTGTATTTTTATTTTTTCTACGAATGCGATAACATTGAATAACTGGTGTACAAATAAATGTGACGAGTAATAATCAAATCATTTGTTTATTATCATGTACTTTTGATATGTTTTTATTGTTATATTCTATTTGAATAAAAATGATTTTGTCATTTTATGCTGTGAATATGTTCTATTACTTATGTAAACATATAAATAATATTGTATATATATCTACCTATGGAGCTATGAATGGTGCTCATGTAAATAGTACACACATAGAGTTTTATTTTGTGTATAACAATATGTGATTGTGTAACAGCGAGTTATGAAAGAAGACGTATAAGAAATTACACGAAAAGATAGAAAATCAAAGAATGACCGTTGAAAAATGCAATGACTTAGCCATGTAAATTTATACTTTAACTGGTTGTAAATTAGTCAATTTTGATTTGAGAGCTAAGCTTATTATTACGAGTAATTAAAAAATCGGACTGTCCAAATCTGTCGATGAAAATACGTGTTACGGCTTTAAAAAAAATACATATCGTATTGTAAATTAACTTTCTCAAATTTCAATATAAATAAAAGAAATAAACCTAAAAATTACATATAAAAAAAAAATCTACTGACAAATTATATTATATATTTGAAAAAATAAGTTAATATTGCTACAAGATATTACTTTAATAGTTAAATGATATAAAAAATAAATATTCAGAATATGGTCATTATAAATAAGCTTTAAATTTTAAAAATCAGAATTTATAAAAACTCATTTTTAAATCAAAAATCATTGGTGAATATGCTTAGTTAATTACTCTGTCCACAGTAATGACTTTTGTATAACATTCCGCACCAAAAAAAATGTCCTTCAAAATTCTTGCACTATTATATATTCTATTGAAAAACAGTAGAAACCTTTTGGGAATATTCAGTGGCGCCGAAGTAAAAAAAAATATGTAGGACAACAAACATTTATAACAAACTCCCACCCACCACACATTTGGTTGTTTAAGCTATCAAAATAGATTTACTCACCCATCACAAATTTTATATGTAGGACAATTGTCCTACATTAACATAGGGTTTGGCGCCACTAGGAATATTTTTAGATCAAGATGAAATGTGTCAATTAACCAACTGTTTCTAATAAGCGATTGTTTTTATTAACTGTAAAAAAAAAAATATATAGTTAAAAAAAAATATCTACTATGAAAAAAAATTAATTACTTTGTACTAATACCTATGTTATGTAAAATATTCATTTATTGCTATTTGTATTTTTGTGTCGAGTAACTTAATGACAGTACTTTATAAGAGTAATATACTCAAAGCCTTTTGCATTCACTCTGTCAACAACTATTTCTATTCTAGCTTTTTTTTCTTTTCCGACTACCATTTTCATTTTTCAATATCGAGCGTTTATCTTCAAACGATTGAATTAATTTTTAGAAGTACATTGTATGATTTAAACAAGTCGCATTTCCGTCCCAAACTTAAATCTTGGGGTGTATAAATATTTTTAGATTTTTATAAAATCGAAACACTAACCATCTTTACGTACGTACTCCGAAGTTAAACTAAAACGGTAACAGTAAAGAGCATAGTAGGTACTGAAATTATAATAAAGAATAGTAAGAATAAATGAAGTTCATTAGATAAATGGAACTCAGTATCAATACGTAATAATAGTAAACCTTAGATAATGTTATATCATAGTAGTACCTTGGCCCTGATTGTTTCAAATTAACGATGTGTTGTTTCAATAATCTGATTGATTTTCAATATTTTAATATACTGCCGATCTGTCTTTAAACATTATGTTTAAAGACAGATTTTTTTTTTTTTTTTGCAATCGTATGAATTATCCGTATTCCTAATAAGCGGCTTCTTCTGTACATATTTCAAGAATGTTAACATTTAATACATTTCAATAATTAAATTATGATTACGTAAGGTCCTAGATAAAAAATTTAACTGCATCACCTCGTTCATAATGACATTGATTTTTGAAAATTTTGCACAAAACTCAGTCAAAAATATGTTAAAATTCGCAATTTACAATTTAAAATTTTCATTAAAAAAAAATCAGTATTTTAACCTTAGCTGAACCCAAAAAATTAAGCAATTAGAATAATGTAACTATTTAAAAATAATATATTATTTTTAATTACAGCATTTTTGTATATCATAATACAATAACTTAAAATATTTTGAGCTATATTAAGACGCTTGACATTTTCGATAAATGTCAGTTTATGTAAAATCATAAATGGTTAAAAATCTTTAAAATTAAACACAATAGGTTTCTAATAAATTATTCATATGTCTAAATAGTATGTATTTATATGCTCCAGCACTTATTAGCAAGAAGATTTTTCATTAATATTTTCGAATTTTTTTTATTTTTTCTAAGAAAAGTTTAAAAATTGAATACAAAATTTGTCATAAGTATTTGTTGCAGCTATTTAATGGCTAGATAAATATATGGTGTATGTATACAAGATTTTTGTTTTTTATTCACCTCAAGTTAAAATTTTGGCAATAGTATTAAAAATCATGAAAATTTGCAAATTATTTCGTAAGTTATTCAATTTTTATAGTTAAGACTTGAAAATTTAATCAAAGGATTTTCTTAAATAGTTTAAACTGAAACTAAGGTATAAAAATATACAAACTTAATTTTTTTTCATAAATAATTGATGTTAAAATTTGGACTATAAATATTATAATAAATTACTCTAATAATAATAATAATAATAAAATATTATAATAGGTAGTATGTAATAAATTTGTATGCTGACGAACTATTTTTGTTCAGAATCATTTTTCTATGTATTTAAATTTATACATCCATTACAGTGGCCTTGCTCAATGATCAGTTACACTTGACTTCTAATGGATAAAAACAAGCAGTAATTTACTTTCCCCTTACTTTATTTTAAAAATGTCTAAACTATCTTGTCTTCGGGTATAAAGAATTTCCAATCGTCAACTATCATCTATTTTAAATAACATGGCAAATACTTAGAACATAATGCCTGTACTCAAATACATAATATTATTATTATTTAATATACTAATAAGTGTAGGAAAGATTATACACTGACACAATAATAATACGGAATATAACATAATGATATAGAATCTTTATTTTCAGGCATCCCATTTTCTATAAATATATTTAGTTATAATATTAATGTATATTGTATAAAATCATATTGAATCAGTACACATGACGAAGATACGAAGTGGTTAGCTAAAGTTAAGTACCTTATACCACACTGATTGTTTAATAATTGGTTAGATGACGAACGCTATTAACTATTTTGAAGTAGGTATTTAATATTATAATATTAGATAATTATGTTTCAGACAAATCAATATTAAATCTTACGGAACGTTTCGTTGAACACTTACTTATAACAATGTTGAATAATAATAATAATATATTGTTTAATAATTATAATATAATATAAATAAATAAAATGATTAATATTCTGACTAATGAACATTGTAATATATAGTCACGACGAGTAGAATATAAAATAAATAAGATAAGATTCAAAATTTAAATAAACATAAATAATTATTAGCTAAAACGAATGAGTAGTTTTTTTTCTTTTGTAGTACAAGTTGAAAATGATAATATTAAGTCGGAAGCGAACAATAATAAATTATAGCATATAAATCTGGTAGATTCATAATTTTATTCCGACGGACACCTGTTTCTTGTTTTTTTTTTTTATTTGTGATTATGGTAATGATAATGATATGAGGTCACTTGTCCATACCATAGATTGATTAGATCGATGTCTAGCTTCAAAACATTTGTTGTTATTTTTTTTTTCCTTTAAATTTAAGTTTCTATTTTAAACGGTGAGCCGGGTATGTGATCATCACCCCATTTGATCAGTAGAATGTATTCGCCACGTTCTCGGACAATATAGCTCACTTGATAGTTATTCTGTTTCATGTGTTTGATAAATATCTCCTCACACGGTCCCTTTGGTCCATAAATACCAACAAATAATATATTGTTGCCTGTTGAAAAAAAGCATAACACATTTTAGTAGATTCAAAAATATACGTATGATATATCATAACAACTATTAATGAGAAAAATCATTATAGAAAATTATTTATTCTATAATATTATATGAGTATGAGCAAAAATTGTCATTTAGTTAAATTATTAAATAATCTGACTGTTAAACATAATATTAATATAATATAATATATTATTATTATTAGTTAATTTGAGGATGTAATGTAATTTCCTCGATCTGCTGAGATTCAAAAATTCTACTCATGTATGATTTCACTAGTCAAACAAATATGTCTATACGTTTCCGATATAATATGTTAAACTAAATATGATGACTTACCGGCATCAGTAGCACTTATACTGAATAGATTTTGTTTGCCCACATACGCTTTCTTCAAACCCATTCCTTTGCTTGTAACAAGTGAAGCGTTAGACTTGAAATGCGGCAGAACAACACCGGCTCCACCCTTGTGAGCTTTAGACACTTTGTGTACGGTTTCCACAACCACCGAGCTTGTTTCTTGTGGTCCGCGCTCAGCCAAATCCTCACCTGAAAAGCGAACAAAAATTATTTTAATTGTTTTGATAAAGATGTTCTAAGTTCTGTTTAAAATATTGTATTAGGCTTATTGTTAATAAATTGTTCCAATAAAATTATAAACGTAGTACACATCACGTACCAGTACAAGTGACTTTGAACGGTGAACCGACAATATGATATCCGTTGTATTTCAAACTGATGTAATATTCGCCTGGCACCAAAGGCGTATACCTGACTTTATAGCCTTCTTCGACTTCGGTACAGTCCATAGAAACCTTACTTGGTCCGTCTATGGTTACAGCCAATGTACCAGCACCCGCGTTGCAAGTATCCACAATGAAATCCGTCTTGTGTCCTAAAATATTCAACAATAATGAATTTAACGAATTCTCAAAGCACAATAAGCTTTTGATGTACGAGTATTTTAATTAGAAATTATCATTCGAAGAAAAACAGTTGGGACTACAAATATCGACATTTTTTTCATCAAGTTAATTTTATATTTAGTTATATTTTGTTGATTGAGAAAATCGAAAACTAAAATTAATTATTTTACGATATTTTTGGTCCTGATTTGAGACTAAGAACGTTATTTCGGGCATAGTCGGGTATAGGTTATAATTTATAATTTATAATTAGATACCTGTCTTGACGTCTCCCAAACCACTGCCAGTGGCATGTACGGCAGCTGGGTCAGCGTCTCCTTTGCCAACCTTTAGGCGGTACGGCGATCCTGGAATGTGAACCCCGTTGAATTTGACGTGTATGTTGTGAACGCCATTATCGCGGGGCATGAAACGAACAGAGTACATGTCTTGATCGATTGATTGGATGAAGCAGTCGTCTTCAGTTCCAGATGGCGACACTACCTACAAAATAACATATACATGCATAATAACATTATGATAACCGTCCAACGCGTCGGAAAAAAAAATCAGAAATATAAAATAGGTATATTTTAAACGCATAACGACTATTATTATAAAATCGATTCTTCAATGGTCTAGTGGATAATTATAATAGGTACATAATAATATCATTCGTAAATACCTTCGCGTCGAGTTGACCAACAGCACCGTTTTTACGAACAATGAATTGTGCGGGGTAATCGGCTTGGACTCCAGACGTTGGAAATTGCGCCACTTCAAGCTTGTGCGCGTCACCCATCGCTGGCGATATAAACAGCTTGTAAGGCGAGTCAGGTATGTGTTGATCGTTAAACTTAATGCCGATTCGGTATTCTCCTGTAGAAAAGACGAAATGTTTCAAATATTCATTTTATGAAATTATTTAATTACTAAAAATGCATATTATTATAAGGACTTCAACGAATTGTAGCAAAAAATGTTTGTAAAATGTCTTATACAAACTCAATGTTTTTGTTATTATACGTTAACACACGTCATAATTTTTTATTTTTTTTTATAACCGTATTAATTACTAATGCAATAATTTATATTTTATTTTTCCCTTATTTATTATAATAATGTCTAATTCGGTACTTCTACAATCAAAACTAGAAAATCATAGATGTTATAATTTATAAAACTTTTCGGAATTTAATAAATAATAAATACTAGACTAATTGTTATTACATCGATTTTTTATTTTATGTTAATCAATTAAAAAGGATAATTATTCTTAGTATAATAACTAAGTAACTACTTATTAAAATTTTCGTTTGAAAACGTTTTTCAATAAATAAATATATTATATATTAAATGTTTAAACCAAAGCACCAGCTGTAGATACTTTTTTATGTAGGGTTGAACCAAGAACATATTTTAATGTATCTTTAAACTATTGTCAAATACGTATCAGCATTATTACAGTAATTATAAAGTTTTAGATACGTTTTTCGATAACAAAAATAAATTATATGCACTAGTTGCATTTATATACGAAACATTGAACCATTTGGACTACAAACACCGTTAAATGGGTTTAACAATTGAAATATATTTTAAAACTTATGTTTCTCCTATTTCAACTTGTTACATTTTTAGACCACATAATGTGTAATTTAGAGTCCGTGGCAGAATACCAAGTCATAAATCCGCTATATTTTACATTAACGTTTATATTAATTGGAGTGCAACAACAACAAACATAAAACAATTCAATTGACATAATTTATAACATTAGAAAGTAACGAGAAAATAGCATACTTAATTATTTTAATTTTTATTTAAACATTTGGTATGTAATTTTTTGGAAGAAAATTATACACAGCTTTATATAAGTTACGGGTCTTATGTGAATGACCCATAATTTGGTTTGGAATAATTGTATAAATTATTAATATTAGAATTTAATAAATTAAACTAATTTATTGAAACTATAAGAAAATAACCTTGTTTGTTCCAAAATTAGAAATGTAATTCATTTGGAAATGTATGTAGTTGAAAATTGTTAACTATTATTTAAGTCAGTAAAATGAATCTATGATAAATAATGTAAATAATTATTTAAAAATCATATTATTAAATGCAAAATAAATTTCGATTATTTATAGATTGTAGACTATAATGAAAATAGCTGTTAGTGAAGATTTTTATGTGTATAAAAAGGATAATATTTTTTTGTCTATAGTTGTAAATTATTTCATATTTTGATAACAATTTATTTTTAAAACTGGTTTGAATTGTTCAGTCATTTTACTTCAGACTAATATAATTTTTCTTTTTTAAATTTATCTCGATTTTTTCTCAATGTTAGCATTAAAAAAAAAAAAAAAAATAATAACATTTGTAGGTCTAATATTAAAGATAAATTAAAAAAAAATATATTAAGTAAATCTTTAAAAAAAATTTAAACTGGCTTTTACGAATTTTTTCTGATAAATATATTGAACAGCATAATATACAAAAATAAATACTGTTAGTGAAAAATAAAACAGGCAACAGAGTAGTGACATATTGTGAGAGTGACAGAAACACGATATAATAATATGTACATACTACGGATCTGTCAACAGCACGACTCGTTGGAAATATTATTACTTATATATTCTACGTTTTAAAAATGGACTGTTTACAATCCTCTTAATTTGAACGACAGTAGTATAATATGAAATGAAAATTTGAAGTTAAAAAAAATTTAAGGATGCAAATTATGAATTATTTTACTATATACAGTTGACGATTGTTCAATAGAGTTCTTGGTGATAGTTATGATTATATAAATTATAGTTAACGAATCAATAATCATCAAACCTAAACTTTAAAGGGTGGGTACTCGTTCCACATAGCTTTGCCTTCGTATCCACCATTGTTGTTATAAGATATTATATTATAAAAATTCAAAACTATCAACGAACCTGGTTCACCTACGACGTAACTGACATAACATGAGCCATCTTTGCGGTCTTTGAAATCAATTTCCGCTTTGCTAGGACCTTCGACTGATATGGCTAGTGAACCCGGTCCGGCTTCCCTAGTCCACACATTAAACTCGCACGGTTGCCCTTGTTCACCGCGTTCCAAACCAGAACCTCCAGCGTGTACGCGATGAGCTCCACCATCGCTCAAAGGACCGACGGTAAATTGGAACGGCGATCCTGAAATACAACGAACGGTCAATGTCGATCAAATAGAAAATTACAGCGATCGCAGTTAACACTTACCCGGTATGTGAACTTCCTTATAACGGACAGACACTGTGTGCACGCCTAATTCTTTTGGTACAAAATGAACTGCATAAAGTCCATCTTCGATTTCGTTGATTTCGGCATCTTCCGTGATGCCATTCGGTGATGTCACCGTCGACGATAAATCATATGGCAACACACCTACAGCATATGGGTAAAACAATAACGTTTTAAAAAGCTTAGTTAGAGACAGACAAATTACGTATAATATATATATACATAATAAATAGTAATTATAAACAAAATCTGTTTAAATTAATAATTCATTTATTCAATACTTTAAACACACACTTGCATGTAGTAAAGATACAATGAAAATTATTATAGAAAATTACAGAAAATTATACAACTACAGTGGAACCCCAATAACTCGAATCGGTTGGGGGCGAAAAAAAAATTCGAGTTATCGAAAATTCGACTTATAGAAGTTCGAGTTATCGAGGTTCCACTGTATTTATATTTATTTTAAAATAAACACTTTATACTAAATTTTTTGATTTAGCAGGATTGAAATGGATTCCACATGCTACTGACCTATATATTTTAAAACCTAGTGAATAATTCACTGTGAAATGTGTGAAGACATTTTGGATCTTTGAAATTAGAGTAGGTACGTACTTTTTATAAAACCAAAGCTAAATTTAAAGAAACATAATTCATGTTAACTTACCCGGCATCTTGAACGTAAGTTTGCAGTTGCTGCCCACCTCGGTGAGAGGTACGGCTTCCCGCCTACGTTCAATTTTTTCGCGTTGACAGTTGCTTCCTTCGCCAGTGACTTTAACGGTAAATGGCGAACCATCGACGTGGTGGTCGGCAAACTTCAGATTCACAATATAGTATCCCGGTTCCGTGGGCCTGTATGAAATGTTCAATGTACCGTCTTCATTGTCCTTACACTGGATTTCTGCTTTGCTAGGACCTTCTATAGAAAGCGATAATCCACCATAACCTATATAAAATAAATAACATAGTAATATAATATTATTATACAGATGCTGTACAAAAATATATAAATTTAGAACAATAATATGAAACGGATAAACGAAGTACTATTGGGTTTAAATGAAGTAAAATAAAATTATTTTATAGTAAACGATTCCAAACAAATTATATTTAACGTAAAATATCACTTTTTAAAACTTGCATTAAAAGTATGAAATTATGTAAAATAATTTTAATTGTTTTGAAATTATTTAAAAATATTAAATAACAATAAATGTACACAGAAACTCATATTGAGTATAGTTATTTAATTAAGTTATTATACAGAATACATCACAGTCACAGATTTTTTTTAATATTTTTTTTTCATATAATTTGAATTAATAAATAAAAAGCTGGAATATTTTACTATAATTCAAACATAAACCTCGGTAAAGAAAATTTTTCAACTAAGATTATCAAATAATTCAAATAATTAATATTTTAATGATCAAAGGCATAATCAATTTATATCAAATTAATTTCTGGCATATGAAAATAAACAAATTGCCAAATTGTGTAAAAAAATGTTTACATAATATAACGTTTTAATTTTAAACTAATATAAACGTACTGCCTAATCGAATATAGTCGATTTGTTGCAAATACTACCACATGATATCATAATATAACCATTTTAGGTTCGTCTTTGTCATTTTGATTTTGAAACAACAAAGGATGAATATCGTTAACGAATTTTAAACATAAGGACTAAATACGCGATATTATATTATAAATTATAATATACAATATTATCCAAACCATATTTCATATAAGCATCACTCACCAGCGCTTCTCGTGTCCACAGTGAATAAATTCTCTATATGTGTTTTGCCTTCTTTTAATCCCGTGCCACTAACTTTGACCTTTTTCGCGTCGCCAACTTCTCGCTCACCTACAGTTATTTTAAACGGTGAGTTGACAATGTGTTGGCCCATTCTTTTCACAGACACCACGTGCTGGCCGATTTCTCTCGGCGTGAACGATATACCTGGAAATGTGAACATGTAAGTGTAAAGCACATTCTTTGCGAATCTCGAAATCGGCAGACCGCGTACCTAAGTTTCCGTTAGGCAGGCGTTTCAAGAAACAAGGTTCTTCCAGACCACTTGGCGCTTGGATCGACGCGTTCAACAGCCGGAAGTCCTTGTCAAGCACTTTGCCGGGCAACGATACCTCGCTGCATGAGCCCACGGATATCTGGTTCCTCTTTCGACCCTCGCCTGTAACTATTTACGAAAATAAAAATGTTCATTTTCATATAAATATATCATAGATATTTTAGAAATATAACGAAAATATACGTATACGCGCAACTAAACGCGTATTTTATAGATTTGAATCCTTCGCAAAGTGCATTACGAACCTGTAACTTTTGAATTGTACGGGCTTCCTTTGATGTGCTTGTCGCCGAACTTGACAGAAATCCTGTATTCACCTGGCGCTGTCGGCAGGTACGTGACGGACACTGTACCATCCTTGTTGTCGTGGCAACTGATGTCAGCCTTGCTGGGACCTTCCACGGCCAACGAAAGACCGCCTGCAGTGAGTAGAAAGATACTTAAATCAATACATCGTTTGCGGATCACTAACTAATTTAAGGGGGCGATGAAATATAGTTATCAAATATAACTTTAAACTCATTTCTGGTGAAAGAGGTCGGAAGTTTTTTTAATATATTACACATTTATATTTCTTACGTTAAAATAATTATTTTTTTTTTAATTTTTAAATAATTTCAAAGATGCAATAAAAACCTTGAATATCTATTAAATTTCATTAAAAAGAAAATTGGTATAGTTTTAGTTATTTTATAAAGTTTATAAAAAATATTTATTTTATTTTATTTAGATAGGTCCTTCTAAATAATAAATAAAGTATTTAAATTAAATAAGTAAATATGTAGGTAATTCATATTAAAATTTTTAAAAAACTGTTTTAAAATAAATATATTATTAATTATATCTGACATATTATATACAGTTTGTGTAAAATATTTTCAATGCCAAAATCAATAAATAATTTATAAAATGTGTTTAAAAATTTTAAATTTAAACAGTTTTAATTGACAGAAAGTATTAAAATACTGGAAAAAATAGAATTGACAAAGGAACAAAGATCTAAGCAATAAAAAAATCGACTTAATGCAACTAACGATTTAAAAAATAGTCCACGAGGTCAGACATATTTTAATAGCCACTCGTTCAAATCTAACACTAACTTCGTATGACATAGCGATAGCAAACTTATCTATACGAATAAATTAATAAAACAGTATCATGTACGCACCGGCTCCGGCTCCTTTCGTGTATATAGTAAAGTCCGATGGTTCTCCGCTGACACCGTGCGTAAGTCCCGGTCCATACGCTGTTATGTGTCCACTGGTGATTGAGTCGACATGGAATTTGAACGGCGAACCTGTTAAACGGTAATAATGTTTATTGTATAAACTATAATAACTATTCGATCTGTTCACATACTAAGCATTTTTCGCGGACAGTCATATATTCAAATAAGTAATGAACTTTAAAGACCGATCGTTTTTGCAATAGTGATGTTTAAAAACATTTTTTATTATTATAATTTTACTGAGGAAAGAGACGATAACATCACAATAGTTTTAACATTTTTTTTTTTTTTTTGGTTCCTGCTGTTATATTTTTATAGCAAATAGCATAAAATAATCATAAAAATCAAGCAAACTGGGTGTAAATTATTTTTTTGTTTAAAACTATAACATAAAATAATTTTTTAATCAAATTTACAAAAAAATAAAATCGTAATTTATAAGTATTAATATTACACTATTATTTCTGACCACCAGCAAGGAAATATAATAAAACCGAACTATTTCTGATTACAATAACGTTTATTTTTATTATCATTATTTAAAAATCCACATATTATATTACCCGAGTCATAATCAAGTTGAAAGGAAAGAAAAATCATAAAAGATATAAAAGAAAATTAATGTCACATGCTTTTAGTTTTTTATGTTGAATTGTGTTGTGACACAGATGAATTATAAAAAAAATAGTGTTCTTTTTTATGATCGTGTACAGTATAGTGACTATATTGCTAGTATATTGGCCTCTGCAGTCGAAAACTTAACATGCTAAATAAATTGTCTGATTTAATACTTAGGTGATTTCAGGAAAACATGTTTTTTAACATTTAGCTTGTACATAAAATGGTTACAAATACGAGGTTGTTTATACATTATGCTATAAAAATAAACACAATTAGTCAAGACCCCATAATAAATTATAAGGTATTTTTATAATATAATATTCACATCTGAGTTCCATAAATACATATAAAATATTACTCAGGTGGAAAATGTTGATTTTAATTAGATCCTTTGTGTATTCTAAAATTACGATTTATCTCGTACACAATATTTATTTTTTTTTTAACGACACTTCTGATATTCAAAAGTGAACTTTAAAAATTGGCAACGAGCACTGCAGCATCTTTTTTCCGAATAACACTAAAATTAAGCCATGGGAACTGATGTATTATAGTATAATATACACCATGATTATTGCAATCGGATAGAGAATACTGAGTTTATTTTCGTTCGCAGCGAGTGACCATTATAATAAAAACTAATGACGTAAAATGTAAGGAACGTTGGTTATAACTTATAATTCTCTCTAAGAATTTAACGTTTATATTATATAAATATTTATTTTTTTAAATTTTTGTCATAATACTATATTATGCGAAAAGTATTTTTGTATGAAATCGAAATAGAATTCAAAACTTACAGTTAAGCGAATTCATTTGCAGGGAACACAATATCTAAAATTGGATTTTTTTTATGAATTATTAAAATTTTTTCAAAATTTACAAAATAGTAATACAGACGTTTTCGATTATTTTATTTATGATTTTGTACAATTACAATTACGCGTTTTCAACGTTTAATATATTTACCTTGAACGTTTTCTCCATTGTATTTAACGAATAACTCATGCAAGCCTTCTTCCTTGGGATCGTATTTAAGCGAGACAGTTCCATCGTGATTATCCTCGACGGACGGTTGATCTCGTTTACCACTCGGCATTGTAATATCAGCTGAAAAATAAAGAATAAAATTGAAAATAAATTAAGATTTCAAACTTTTTATTTTCATACATAAATATATAATTTTCAATACAACTCATGTTTGTTGACTTAAAAGTATATATAATTGTATTTTATACAGATTGTATTAAAGTTTCAATAATATATTGAAATACACACGAAAAATACTCAAAAATGTGATACTTGTAAATATTATAAAAATATATAAAGAGTGATCTATCAATTATGTTCACTACACCTTTTTTTTTCAATAACGCAATAATTAAAAATCTTATTTAATTTTTTTAAATGTTTAAGTGTATTTGAAGTTCATATTTTTAAACGTGTGATTTTTTTTTTTTTTTTTTTATGCTATTTAAGATCTTGTGGCAAAACAAATTTATTTAAATAAAACCCTTCTTTGTATTGTAAATTATTTAATAAATAAATTTTTTGGAAATTTTAATGCACTTATTATTAAAATTCGAACAAATAGTTTTTCAATCATCAAAATGTTTGCTTTAAAAGTAATAGTCTTCAAAAATGGTTTTATAAAAATAAAAAATATATGTAATATTGAATCTATAGTATTTATTGTACTTGGACGATTTTTATAAATTTTAAGTAAATAATATTTTTAAATCACTATATTTTCCAAACCCATTATCATAAATCTATTATCCTTAGAACACAAAGTTAAACAACTCAAAAACATCGTCCTAATTTTTATTTTGATACGTCAACATTAAAAAAAAAAATATCCGCTAAATAATTTACAGTAGATAGGAAAGGAACTTATTTGAAAAACAGAAATTCGATTATCTATAGACAATGTTTATAGTTAAGCATATTTAAAAATTCAAAATTCAAATTTATAATAACTGCATTTTTGAAAAAGAAAAAAAATGTGGTGAGCATTTATGTTTGGCGAATTATACGGTATCTATTATAGTTATTTAAATATTTTGAATTTGAATTATTTTTTTTTTTTAATTTCCCTATAATGATTAATGACAAATTTAAATTTCACTATAAAGTCTATCCAATGGATAGCATACACGTTAGTATATTATGTATATATTGTTCATTATATTATAATATGTTTTATTGTTATATCTAATTGTGTGCGCTCTCTTATTAAGCCGTGTTGATAAATTAATAACGATTAATATAATTGTATACATATGGCTAATTTTATTTATTATTTACTTAAAATGAATAAATGATACAACTAAATCATATCAATTTAATACATTTATTTATCAATAAAGTATAATAACTAATATAATATAGTATAATATTATGTTATATTCTAAGATATTTAGGGAAGAAATATTCTTGTCTAGTTATGAAACGAAAAAAGTGTTTTTTCTTTTAGTTTTGTAAATAAAATTGTATAGGTACTTTATGTTATCTATTTGGTGTGAAAATAACAAATAGCCCCATACTAATATGTCTACATTAGACATGTGAATGTTTTATTTTTAGATTTGTCAGCACTTACACATTGCAGACAAAAGTATGTTTTACATAAAAGAAACCATGTTTCACATAACTCCATTAATTAATACGAATAGCATTTAATATTACTGGCATGATTTAATTTCACTGTATAATAATATAGCCAAAGTCGACGAGTAGGTGTTGATCGACGCAAACGAGTCTGGTATGGTGCGGTCATATATATGTAAGCCAATGGGTAACGATGTTCATTGATAACACCCCGCTAAGATATGTCTAACATCTGCCAAAAAAAAAAAAAGTAGATTTTCGAAGACCGTCGAATCGAAAACTTGAGATACCTCAAGTAGTATAAAAAGAAGAGTTCTCAAACCACCGTCACCGTCACCATATACAATAAATTATTATTCGTTGAATCTAAAGCATATTTTATTATATGATGAGAATATATTTATATAAATTATTATGTTATAAGAGCGCAATTCAATGTATGGCGTTGTATTGGTTAAATTTTTAAGACACACGTAATGTGTCCAACTCTGAAAAGTGGTGAGGTTTTCATTAACTCGAATATTATGAATTGGCATTAGAACATTATTATCAGGTACATCGATTACTGTACTCAGTCTCGTAATGACCGCGAGTTTGATAAAAAAAATGTGTCGGGCCAAAGATTGCTCTCACTCGGTCATTCATATTGCCGAATCCCGTCGCCATTAATTATTCGAAATGTCGCAAAAAATACGTATACTTATCGTCGCGATCGTAATCGTCCGACGATTATTAATGATTTCAACGCGTGTACGCATCATGATTTGCACAGCTAAACCGTTGACTGCACCTAAGAGGATACCAGTGTATGATGTTGTTTCGGTCCTACAAACGTACAGCATAAGTTTTTAAGTTTTAATATCAGAGTGAATTGAGCTATCGTCAAATTTGATGGTAAGAACCGTAGACCTATAAACCAATTGGCTTAGCGTCTAGAGAGAGAACATTTTGGGACGAGATATGAAGTGAAAGCAAAAAGATACAAAGTAACAAAATACGACGTGTCTCGACCGAATAATAAAAAAATATGAATAATATTAATAAATATTAGTAGTTAAATATTGTATTATTAATATATGTGTTGTAAATTCCTTGATTAGTATTGATTGTTGATATTATATGTTTATAACCAGGGCTCGGAAGTTGTAACAAATGTATATTTTTCTTGGTTCGTCCTAAAAGGAACCAAAGTAAGATACAAATATATGTTTCTCACTTCTCAGATGTCATACACGAAATTTAATTTTGCTATTTTTTGTATATTTACGGTTTTTTATTGGTATTTTTGGGTATATTTTTAAAAATATTTAAACTATTGAAAATAAATAGGTCTTATTGAATAAAAATTTCATGTTTAATGTTCTCGCTGCATAATTATAAAAAAAATTTTTATAATAAATTTATAATTTTTTCAAATTCAACGCATATTTTTTGATTTTTCATGCTATTTAGAGCACATATTTTAGAGCTTTTAAATACAATATATTTAAGAACTAAAAAGTAATATTTTTAATGCTATACAACTTCCGATCCTTGTTCCTACGAGTCTGTATAATATATATAAATAAATATAAATTGATATTATAAGTTTATGATGGAAATAGAAAAGAAGAAAAATGTGTTTTTTAAACAATATTGTGTGATTTCTCCCTCGAGATGATGTAAGTCCTTAAAATATCACAGCAAAATTCGTTAAACAAACAGATATCTTTAATAACGAATATATTCATTCTAGTAGAAAAATTAATAACATAAAATTGGTGCCAGATCTAAGTTTTGAAAGCCCGAGATAAAACTATTAACATTGGAGATGCATTAAGAAAAAAATAATTATAATAATAAAATCATTTAAGTCATTATTAAATTTGATGCATTAATTTTAAATTTATTTGGTATTCGATCAAATTTTTAATGGATTAAAAAAAATAATATCAGTTCACATCAGTAGGTACATTCCTTTAAATCGGTACACGAGTAGAGACGAACTGAGTACATAACAGCTTGAAATAAATGTTTACGGGCAATTTCTTAAAATGCTTTTTATATCTTGACTATTAGTCAATGTTTTGAATAACTGATCACTTTACAAAGTTACCAAAAAATCGAGGACATCGACTCGAGGCAGCTTGAAAACAAACTCTGCAGCCTCGACGCTCAGGTGCACTTGTACCCCCTGCATCATCCCCGCAAAGTCCGGCAACGCGAAAAAGTGGGACTGCTGAACGCAATTTTTATTTTTTTTTATTTGCACACGTTAAGGGGGGGGGAAGGGGGTACCGTCTTGATTTCGACGACTGCGACGTGTCCGAGTCGCGCGCAAAGGAACCGATAAACAAACAAACAAACAAACCGACGACGACACGACGGGCGCAAATGCCGCGACGCGATCGTACCTTTTTTGGTGTTGACGTAGTAAAACGTCAAAAATGTGATTTCGGGTTGGTCGTCGTCGGCGCGGTCGCCCGCGGCGCTCTCGGGCCCTACGTCATCGCCGCCGCCCTCGTCGTCCCCGGACGGGCGGGGCCGCCGGTCCACGGCGTCGTAGCCCCGGGACAGGTGCATCACGGCCGCGGCGCACGCGTCCACTTCGCTGACGGTCAGGCACTTGAGGTACGGCCGGTAAGCGGTGGCCAGGCACGTCCACGTGGCCTCCTCCACGGGCAGTTCGAAGTGGAACAGGTACACCATGTCGTCCGCGGTGTGTAGAACAGTGTTGCGACAACGGTACGCGGTGTTACGGTGTTGCGCGATTGAATGCCGGCGCGGTACACGGGGCGACGACGGTGACGGAAATGCCTGCGAAGCGTGTAAATGCGTGTCCGCGGTGCGACTGATATCTGGGCCGGATTATCGCCTAATCTCGAAAGGTCCGGCCGGCACATCATCAAACGGGAGGGTTACACCCGGGAATCCGGCGGGCCAAAAGCCAATACAGCGGCCGCGGCGGCGGGTTATTAATTTAAATTTATTATTATTATTATTTTTCGGCGCAAAAAAAGAGCAAGAAAAAAAAAAAAAAAAAAAAGGGAAAACGGGAGGGGGTCGCGGTCGACATATTAATAGGGATAATCGCGTATATCGCAATGCACACGCACACCTATGTGACACATATTAATAAAATAATATGTCGTGTGCCCCGGCGAAAGTGGTCTAATTTTAAAACGATGTCGCCGAGAGAGAGAGAGAGAAAGAGTTTTCATTTTTCTATTCTACACGTCCGAACGAATACACGACCGGGCGTGTAAAATTTATATTTTTATAATCATAACGATAACGACGAAGAAGAAGACGATAAAAATAATAATGATAATTTATATTCGGCAACGCGGGCTCGCGCGAGAGTTAAATTAACCGTACGACACGGACGTTTGCTGCTGCACGTCCCCGACTTTGAGGTTTCGTAAAAACGCGGGGCGATTGGTCGCGCTTCGTTTGTACCGGAGAATCTCATCGTTTGCACCAAAAAAGCTGTACTTATTAAGTTGTAGCTGTTTAGAGAC